ATTGACACAATTCAGAAAATTTCCAAAACTCAGTCAAACAACTATCAATGTAAACGAAAATTCCTGAATTGACACAATTCAGAAATTTGGTTGTTTTCATTGCAATACAAGTCTTAGAATTTTCTGAATTTTGTCAATTCAGAAATTATTATTTTTTCTTATTATAATGCAAGTCTTAGAATTTTCAGAATTTTTGTCAATTCAGAAATTATTATTTTTTCTTATTACAATACAAGTCTTAGAATTTTCAGAATTTTGTCAATTCAGAATTTTTTTTTTTTTACTAGTATAATATCTATTGTGAACAGGAAAATTCAGAAATTTCTGAATTTTGATATATGTATTTTGTCAAGTTGTTAAATATTGTCTTACATATAAAGAAATTCAGAAAAAAAGCGTACATCTGTACATATGAAATAATTCAGAAATTTTCTGAATGTGTAATGACCCTTTACATGACCATGAGTAGTACTCCAAAGTCTGTCGTACAAACAGTTTCATAATTTGTCTTTTAGCTTTTAGATCCTTTCGATATGCTGCTTAAAGACAGCTTACATGGTGGAAACNATATCGTGACGTCAGGTCGTGGTCGTGGTTTGTTTTGACAAGAAGGAAACCTATAATCGTGTCCTTTTCCCGGGCTTTTTATTTCTTTAATTATGGCTATGCATTTTCAATTCGAGCTCGAATATGACAACAGTGAGTTAACAGATCAATAAGACAGCTTTGATCACGAAAAAGAATCGAGTGAAGAATATAATATGGCAGAAAATTCGGAAGAAGTATCGTGGTGAATGCGGGCTGTGTGCGAAGATTGAAACAACTGAAATGTGTGTTTTCTGTAAAGATTTGGATCGATTTCGTATTTAACTGAAGCAAATAAAAAAGGAATGAGTAAAAGTAAGCACTATAGAATGTTTTATATTATCAATACCAATCTATTTTCTTTAAATGACTCTTGAGTAACGAAACACGAATGCTCGCGCTTGCGAGACTGTTTGTTTATATACGCTTTAGTACGGGACGTTCTCTGGACTGCACTTATGTAAATCTGCCCAAAGTCCCAAAGCAAATAAAATTCCCAAGGAGTGAATAACCAAGAAAATGTGTATAGATCAAATTAAGTTAGTTTGTTTTGGATGTAATTTGTCGTGCTATACGGTTTGGAAGGTTCAAGGCCCACGGCTTTACATGACCATGAGTAGTACTCCAAAGTCTGTCGTACAAACAGTTTCATAATTTGTCTTTTAGCTTTTAGATCCTTTCGATATGCTGCTTAAAGACAGCTTACATGGTGGAAACATGGGTATTTGGTTTAGGCAGATGTGCACTTTCTCTATCATGAAGTGACACTGCAGTCAGAGAAAGTCCCGGACAGGCTCGAAACTTTCGTGGTGCGTTTGATATGATACAGTGTACACAAGAGTCATCTATAGAAGAAACGACCGCTAGTTATTAACATTCTATAGAGCTTACTTTTACTCATTCCTTTTTTATTTGCTTCAGTTAAATACGAAATCGATACAGAAAACACACATTTCAGTTCAATCTTCGCACACAGCCCGCATTCACCACGATACTTCTTCCAAATTTTCTTCCATATTATTATTCTTCACTCGATTCTTTTTCGYGATCAAAGCTGTCTTATTGATCTGTTAACTCATTGTCGTCATATTCGAGCTCGAATTGAAAATGCATAGCCATAATTAAAGAAATAAAAAGCCCGGGAAAAGGACACGATTATAGGTTTCCTTCTTGTCAAAACAAACCACGACCACGACCTGACGTCACGATATGACKTCACAACAGCACAGGGTGCCCAAACCGATTTTTTGATGAGATTAAAATCGCTTTAATTAGCTTACTAATTATTTCTCAAAATTTTTAATACGATTTTCGAAATCAGCGTTAAATTCTACATAATATAAGTTCAACTTGCTGAGAAGTAGAGGGTCCCTTTAACCTCACTATGATGACAGGCGCGTAGCGTCCTTTACGCATATACGCACGTGCGTACCAGTGGCAAGGAATATCAAAATTTTCACAAAAATTACTGAAAAATTCACATAAAATTGATCCCTTTTTATATACCCTCGATGTCTCTCAAAACGCTGGAAATCACATTTCCAAGAGTTATCATTTGAAAATTTCCTGGGGGAGGTCCATACTTCCTTAATACTCCCGCCTTTGGCGGTCGTTAGACCCCCAGATTCAAAATATGTGTCACGGTCCCTGACATGTGCGTACTAGCCAAAAAGTCCACGCTGAGCGCCTGGATGATCGACACCTCTCATATCTTGTACACCTACGGACACTATTATTGAGCCCTGTACATTAAGCTGCTTTTATCACCGGCAATTTTTGTGGCCAGTGCCTCGGAACGAGGCTCAAGCCATTATGCCATCGCCTGAAAATTTGTTTGTATAAATATCATTCGGGATAACTTCGTGATTCCTCGCTTTTCCTCCGATTTATTATCGATTTTCTTTCTCTTGTTGTGAATTAAGTTGGCTGTTGTTGAGAAATTGCACCTGCATTTTTAGACTTCGTGTTCCCGAAATTTCGAGGAAAGCTGCTGAAAGGGGCGATGCATGCCGTGCAAGTTGCAGGGCAAGCTGCATGAGTTCTTCTGGGTGAAGCTGCCTTCATCACTGCTCGCAACAACAACTTTACCAACAACAAAAATCCGCGGTAACCTGTGTTACACCGTGCGGCAATTTTCCAGCAACTCGCTTCGCTGTTGAGACAAGTTACACAGAAAACTGCACAATGTTAAAGCATCTTTCTGTGCGGCTGCATATGATTACAAACACCCCTTATTATGACCACCTCTACTTGCGGACAACTCTATATAGCGGACGGTCTTGTATATTAGGAGTCAATGTATGTCAGGACACCTCTATATAATGGACACTCCTGTATAATAGGAATCAATGTATGTAAGGACACCTCTATATAATGGACGGTCGCTCTATTTTACGGAAAGCCTTAGTGGACACTGTGTATTACCGACCTCTATATTAAAGGATGTTTCCCATTGTATATATTACTGGGACCTCTATATTACGGGCAGCTTTGCATGTTTGCATTATTTGAACTAGGCACCTCCATGTTAAGTGCACCTCTATAATACGAACACCTCCATATTACGAACACCTCTATTACAAACACTTTTATGTTATAAACACTCCTATATTCAGACAACTTTATAACCTCCAAGGTCAGTCTTCATAGGAATAAATGGTTTTTGTAAGTATCATATCAATTATTCCCACTCAAATGCGCCGATTACTTTACCCCCCAAAGACACCACAGTTTCTGATAAAATGTCTGTTCCTTTTTATTTCTACCCCCAAAAAGGGGTTTTCTTGCCATGTCGCGCCTACTAAATATACGCCTCTTATTGTTACACCTGTGATATATGGAGGATATTACATGGGCGCGCGGAGATACGGATTTTATCTTCGAGTGTTGAAAA